TGTTTTTGTTTGTTTGTGGCTAGTAGAAGTTATAAATGGCCGGTAACAGATTTAGTAGCCAAATTGGCTGGTGAGTGAATTAATTTCAAACCCATATTATATCATGTCATATATCCCATATCATATATCACATATCATATCACATATAGCCTATCATATATCATATCATACACATTTATAGGATATAGCCTATGTTAGATCAAGTTTTGTTATGACAAGATCTATTAACGTATATATCTATATTTTATAATTAACTAAATTCTAATTAAATTAATAATAATAATTAAAATCTGGTGTGATTGCAGTTTTTAATCTATTTTCACAGTGACATTTGAATAAAAATATGTAGGTTATAAAATGTGGGTGTCATGAACTAACAATGTACAATTTTTACAGCATTTTTTTAATCTAGGTTAATGTATACTCTGTTCATCATAAATTCATATTTGTTCAAAATACTTCAATTTTAATAATAGTAATTGTATTATCATGAATAGAAATTAACCTACATTGATATTGTCCACAATGCCTGCAATGCATCAACTTATGTTAACAAATTATACAACCATATTGTATTTTATCTAAGCATTACCTATGTAATATTGGCAAGGCAATGTAGTGTTGTCCTTCATAGTTCTTCAATCACAATATTTTAATTATTCCATAACTGGGTCTGTAGTGAGTGTATGTGAGAGCCCATGGCTTGATGTCAGACTCTCAGCAGTAATGGCAGCCAGTCTCAACTCATAAATCAGCTGCTCATGTGAAACAGACACCATGGCCTTAATTGCAGACTGATAGAAAATTACAGGTTTCCCGTCCGGGCGCAATTCGAAGACTGCAGCCCGGTTTAATGAGCGCAGCCTCAAACGTACATACGGTCTGTGGCAAGGGTATAATGGAGCTTGGCTCGTAATGAGGCCACACTAGCCCAGTGACAAGACTCTAGAGTGGTAATTTTCTGCGTCAAGCCACTGGAAACACACGGCAGCTCAGCTGTGAAACCCCAGTCAGCATGCCGGACATAAATTTAGTCAGATCAATGAATGTGAGGATTCCAGTAAACTAGGTCATTTCTACAGCTCTCTCTCAGTGCTCATTACCTGTCTGTGCTCTGTGGAAGAGCTGTGCTACAAAGAACGGCATGCTGTCACAAATCATGACGCTCACAAAAATGATGGCTGTATTGGCAGACTTTCGTCTCCCTCACCCTGTTTCGCTCACTTGGCTGCAAGGAGGTATATGGTGTAAAGCTGGATTAGAGTTCCTTTGGGAACATTCCCACTGATGTGATCCAGTGGCGACCCTGAGCTTTATGTCTTACTTTAGCTCAGCATTCATTGTTGGAAAGTTATTTTAGGTGATGCAGTGTTGAGGTGTGTTCATTTTCTAATGTGAGACTTCATTAAAACCTTCTCAGGTTTAAATTGAGGGGCAGATGGGTAAATGCTGCTGACTCACATGCTTTTCTCAGAGCCATGGTGGGTAATGTACAGGGCTGGAAAAAGATATCGTGGTGCCCCTGGACACACTGCTGCACAGTCTGTGAGAAAAATGATCAACAGCTCGTCACTGGGGTATAGGACCCTTAAAAGTACTCCTTCGTAATGGTCAAATTAGTACCTTAAGGTATGACCATAAAGGGGATAGTACACCCAAACATACATTTTTTTTTCATCACTTACTCTTCCTCATGTCGTTCCAAATCTGTATAACTTATTTTATTTTGTGTTCTACAGGAGAAAGAATTTTAAAATGAAATGAAAGTCAACAAGGTCTAAAGTTGTTTTGGACCCCATTGACTTTCATTGTTTGGGCTTAAACATTCTTCGAAATATCTTCTTTTGTGTTCCACAAAAAAAGTAAGTCATACTGGTTTCGAACAACAATAAATGGTGACAGAATAGGCACAAGCATGTAGCTTTGAAGGTACCGCCAAGCTAAAAGTATAATGTTTGAAATCTTTTTCACTCTTTCACATCTCTAACTATTTGTACAGCCCTAAACAAATTGCCCCACCCACATGGCCAAATTTCTATGTGGCTTTTCTGGCCCTGGTAATGTGTGCAACTAGAACATGTACAGAATGTATAGAACATTCTTTCACTCATCAATCAAGTTCTACTCTTTCAGTTGCCAATAACCATGTGAACTGTGATCAAGACAACTAATGTTTGTGGCTTTGTGAATCTTGTGTGGTGTCAATGATTTGAAAATTGACCCTGCATGGGGAAAAAACATTATCTTGATATATAACACACTCCATAAAATGGAAACAGCTTTTTATGACATTAACTTTCTGTTGAATCGCTCTCTTAAAGGGATAGTTCATCCAAACCTGTCTGACTTACTTTCTTCTGTGAAACACAAAGGAGATTCTGAAGAACATTGGGAACCAAAACCTTTTGGACGTTTCTCAAAATATCTTCTTTTATGTGGCCCAGAAGAAAAAGTCATAGAGTTTTGGATCAACATAAGGGTGAGTAAATGAATTTTAATTTTGGGTTAACTATCCTGGCTTTAACTCTTGTTCCTGTTCTTGACAACATAGCAGGTTTTATATGCTTCCTTTGGTTGTCTCCCTATTTTGCCTTCTCCAGGCACCATGGTGCTCAACCATG